ATTCCATTTATCATCTCTCTTTAACCAAAAGCTGGCTTTCCCATGAGGGCTCTACCTCCCCTGTTTCCCTCTCAAGTGGTGGATGTCTGCTTCCCACATGCCACAAAACACAGAACCTGAAAGTGAAGAAGATATTCCCTTTGCTCTTTCTACTTACAGAAAATTTCCACTCTCTTTCCCTCAAAAACTCCAACTCTTTTCAGCTCAGGCCATCAAACATGTAACATCATCTTGAAGTTGTCTACCAAAGTTCTGTTTATTCTTCCTATTTCATTGATTCATTTATATAAAAGTGTGACTGGAATAGATTTGAGAGAAAAACGGAAGAGATTAATTGAAAACAGTAGATATAAACAACTGTTATAAGGAATTTTGTTCAAAGAGAGAGTAGAGAAATGAGGAGGTACCTAGAAAGGGCTAAGAAGTTAAGAGATTTCCTTTGTTGTTACATTGTTTTATTTTGATTTTCATGATGGGAAAAATAATAGCATGCTTATATCCCGGTAAGAATTTTTCTGTAGAAAAGGGAGGCAGAAGATGGAGGGGAAACTTTCTAGAGCCATATCCTTAAGTAGATGAAAGAGGAGGAATATACTGATGTGCTAGACGTAAGTGATAGAACTGGCATTAGAAGCTGGCTCACTGTCTTCCTCTACCCTTAGCATCAATCTTAGTTATTTTAAACATCCATATAGATGATCCATTTGAAATCCTGGCCCTCCTGTCCTTTAGGCAATTATCTTGTTTATCTTTTCTTCTCTCTACCTCAGCCACCATTCCTCATAGTTCTATCCTACAAATTCTACGTTATAATTACTTCTTTGCCTACAAAGCTCCTCCTCCCTCTATCGTACTCTCTTAGCAAAACTCCAAACCTGGTTAAATCCATTACACAAATGGATTTTGTTTAAAAAAATTACAAACATAAAGTCACAGTGAATGGCTTCACATAAATAAATGACCACAAATATGAAGTAGACCCTCAGCAAGCTGGGCATTCTGATTACATATTTCCCTAGTTAATTCATTTTCCCATTCTCTCAGAGTATTTCATGCCTTTTCCTTAACTTTCAATTCCTCTTCCATCTATCTCTAACATTAATGAGCTTTAATATTAATGAACTTTAATTTTAAGAAACTACCAACTTTCCTGCAAATATTTCAATATACATTTGACCTATCTCCTGATAAAATGAATGAAATGTCCCTGCTTCTGGCTAAGTCTACCTTCTCCATACTGTGCCTAGGCCTCATTCCCATTTACCTCCTTCCCTCCTACACTATCTATCCCTCTCTACTGGACCATTTCCATTTGCATACAATCATGTTGTAATCTCTCTCTCTCTCTCCCTCTCTCTCTCTCTCTCTCTCTCTCTCTCTCTCTATATATATATATACACATATATATATACATAAAACATATTATAATTTATATATTATGTATTTGTATATATACTATATATTTTACATATAGTTGTATATAATACAAATATGTATATTATTTATATATAAATATACGTATATTATATATATATTATATATTAAATACTTATTAAATAAATTAAGTATTTATTGAAGGCCAATTGATACCTCTTTTATTAAGGTCACCAACAAGCTCTGTGTTGCCAAGCCAATAATCGATGAATGATCTTTATCTTTCATCACTTCTTTATAGAACTTTATAGAACTCAACACAGGTGATCACATCTCACTTCTTGGAACACTTTTTTCAGTTGATTTTCTTGATATTACTAAACCACTGACAGTCTATTCTCTTTCTGGCTTGTACTCTAAATGTTAGCATATCCCAAGACTTTAACCATCTCTTTCACTCTATTGATAATACCTCCTTAATTTTCTCATCTAATCTCATGACTCTCAAATTTATATCTTCAGTCTCAACCTCTTTTTTGAAATCCATATTTTTTCATCAACTGCCTACTCAATATTGCCATTGGAAATCTCTTAGTTTCTTAAGTGTAACATGACTAAAGTAGAACTCCTATTTCATCTCCCTGATTTGTTCGTACTATCATTTCTCAATTCAGTAAATGACAGCATCGTTAGTCCAATTGCATGAAACAAAAACCTATATGTCATCCTTGAAAATTTGCTTTTCTAATTTTTCTTGTCCAGTTCTTCCTTCAAAGTATAGTCTGAACCTAATCATATCTTGCCACCTCACGGCTACCACTGGATTCCAAGTCACCTTCATCTCCCTTTTAAACTACTGCAATAGCCTCATAACTTACCTCATAGCTTCCACTCTTTCCCCTACACAGTAGCCAGAGGGAACTTATAAAACCTCCATCATATTACATTTTATTACTAACCATCTAAACTCTTCACTCAGTTATCCAATATACTCAAAACCAAATTAGAACTCCCAATTCTTGCCTTCATCATCCAGTTCTTGCTATTTTTCCAGTCTCCTTTCCTGTTATGTTCCTTATTACACACAATTTATCTACAGTGTCCTTCTTACACTTCCTTGAATACATCAAGGCTTATTCCTACCTCAGCACATTAACGCTTGCTGTTCTCTTTGTCTGGAACAAAGCTTTGATCTTCTAATAACTTGTTCCATCATTTTATTCATGCCTGTATTCAAAGATAATGAACTTTCCCTGACCAACCTACCTTTGATATCTCCCCTTTCATTTATAATTCCTACTCTATTTTTCTTAATTTACAACTACTAGAAACTACATTAAATAATTTGTTAATTTGGGTTTTTTTCCCTGTCTCTATCACTAGTATATTAGACCCACCAAGGCAAGAATTCAGTGCCTAAAACAACTTCTAGCGCTTATAGGCATTCAATAATGATTACGTTAAATCAGTGAGTAGATGAATGACTTCAATTTTTTTTTTTTTTGGTGGGCCTCTCACTGTTGTGGCCTCTCCCGTTGCGGAGCACATGCTCCAGACACGCAGGCTCAGTGGCCATAGCTCACGTGCCTAGCCGCTCCGCGGCATGTGGGATCTTCCCGGACCGGGGCACGAACCCGTGTCCACTGCATTGGCAGGCGGACTCTCAACCACTGCTCCACCAGGGAAGCCCTCAATTTTTTGTTTTAATGTTTTTTTATCCAGACATTTCAGATTCACGGTTTTATTCCCCTATTAGAGTTAAGCTATATCTTCATCTATTTTTCATTTTATATGGCAGATGTGGACATAGTTTTAAAGTATTTTGTATATAACTCCAATGATTTCTGATTTAAAAACTTAAAGGTCATAAACAAACAATAGATCAAAAGTAGCTAGTATGTAAGTTGAAGCATCTAAGTAAATGTTTTCGTTTTAACACAGTCCTTGCAAAGCACAAAATTAGCTTGGCTATTGATTTTTACAGAATACCACTTAGAATCGTTGCTAAGGGTTAAATATAATTTACATGAATTCAGCAAGAGAGAACAAACTTGAATCATCTGATGTCACCAGTCAACAGACTTTCAAGAATATCTATTATTATATGCTAAGAATTTGTGCTGGGCATTTGTATTTTGTGTGGAATATAGAAACAGTGAAATAAAGTTCCTTACAAGAAAAGTTTATAATTTAGTTGCTGCTACAAAACACATGTACACGAACAATCTTTAGAAACATGTCCAAGCCACATACAAATGAGAACACACTTGAACTAGCAATGTATGTTAGGATAGGAAAGGGATAAAACCAGCAAATTATTTTTAAAGGGGGCCAATTTAATCATAGAGATGGATAATTTTTCAAGGTGTCAAATGAACACAGCAGAGAAGTGAATGAAGCATGAATAGTGTGATTTTTCCAGAAGACAGAATGGTAAAGTCGTGTGGAAATGAATAATCTGATCATGTAACTTAAGAAGAATTCAGAAATTGTGCTGGTTAGATGGGGAATAGGAATCTTGGCAAGGCCTTGATACAGGAAAAAGAGTTCAGATTTAAGCCAATTTTTACTCAATTTTCAAGATCAGCAAGAAGATCCCAACGTCTGATGTAGTAAATCAAGTCTGAGTATCTACGGAGATTCTCTATGGTTATAAGGATTCCCAGTGGGTAGAGATCTAGTTTCCATAACGGTAAACTAAATAACTTAGACCCTCCCATTGATGGCAACTAGAATAGCTGGATTAAAAATTTTTTTTTTAATTTGAAAAGAAAAATATGCTTGAAGGAATAGAAATCTAACTCAGTAGTGGAAAATTCCAGGGCCAGGATCCCAGAGAGGGCAGAGGCGTGGAGATGAGCTCAGCATTAAGGGTTGGTTCATCCCCAAAGATAGCTGCTGCTCCTGGAGAGGGCCACTGAGAGACGGAGGGCCACTTTTCCTCTCTCACATACACTAAGATGTGTAAAGTGCACTAATCTTAAACTTAATGATTTGTACAAATATATACACCTATGTAACAACCACTCAGATTAAGACACAGTATTTCCTCACCCCATAAACTCTCTCATACCTCTTCTTCCTCGTGTAACCGCTACTGCGTCTTCTATCACAATCACTTCGTTTTGCTTGTTCTTGAACTTCATACAAATGAAATCTTTTTCTTCAATTTTATTTATTTTTTTATACAGTAGGTTCTTATTAGTTATCTATTTTATACATATTAGTGTACATATGTCAATCCCAACCTCCCAATTCATCCCACCACCACCACCATCACCACCACCCCCGCCGCTTCCCCCCCTTGGTGTCCATACATTTGTTCTCTACATCTGGGTCTCTATTTCTGCCTTGCAAACCAGTTCACCTGTACCATTTTTCTAGATTCCACATGTATACCTCAAATGACATCTTTACAGAGGTAATCATGTCAAAATGAGGTCATTAGGGTGGCGCCTAATCTAATCTCAGTAGTGTCTTCATCCAATTTTTTTTACTTTGTTTCAGCAGCCCTGGGAAACTAATATAATATATAACAAAGACTTGAAGGCATTGGAAAGCATCCAAAGCAGGGGAAAATTTAGGGGTTCCTATCCGTAAAAGAAGAGAGGCACATCAGGTAAGTTCCACAATTATCTGACTCTTTGCCTGAAAGCAATTTTCAGTTTGATGCCACAGTATAGGTAATAGAGCTCAAGCAGGAAACAGGATTCTTAGCAAATTAATGAAACACACAAGAGCTGGAATTTAGGAGTGAAAGAGTGACTATAAATTGAGGGAAAATCCAGAGAAGAGGGAACTGAACAGGAGGGAGCCCCCACCCCCAAGTGCGCACAAACAGCCATCAAGCACTAGCTGACTCCAAGACAGCACATACGCTCCAGAATTAAGCAACACCTGGGAAGCTAAAGAATTGAGCAAAGATTTCAATAGGTGCCTAATGCTTGTGAGATAAATTTTGGAATACAAATCTCACCAATTTAAAGCGGCTTGGTAAACAATTGAGGTTTTCACTAAAATATCACAAGAGCCACCCCCTAATACTAGAGACCATACTAAATTAGATCTGTCCTTGCAAAGTCTGAAGCCAACCTCTACAGGTCACTGTAATCCATTGCTACTCTAGGTGCTCCCCTCTACCCACCCCCCCAAAATCACATTTCTTTATACGAAAATAACTTCTAAAGCTTCTAAAATTTGTCATTCACAATGTCTAGAATGCAATCAAAATTTGTGAGACATGTTAATAATATGATTGATTGAAAATCACTGAAACAACAAAGAGGAAATTAGACCTACAGATGGTTCACAAACTTAAATCAGTGAAAAGGACTTTAACATAACTCTCATTAATTTGTTAAAGGAAATATAGGGAAATAGCTATAATGGAAGAAAATATGGAAATTTTCAATAGAGAATTGAGATCTATTTTTTAAAATTCAATGGACATTCTAGAAATGAAAATATACTTAAATGAATAACTCATTTAATGAATATAACAGTAGGTTGGACACAGCAGTAGACAGAAACTAAGAACTGAAAACCAGGTCAATAGAAAATCCAAACTGAAACACACAGATTAAAAAAAAAGAACAAAAATAACAGAACAATGGGGCATATGGGACATGATAAAATATTCTATCATGTATATAATCAGAGTCACAAGAGTAAACAGATAGAATATAAAGCACAAGAACTATTTGAAGAGATAATGGCCAGGAATTTCCCCAAACTGATTAAAGACTGATTTAGGAAGCCTGATGAACCTCAAACAGGGATTACTAGGAAAAAGAGTTCTCTGCAAGCCTTGCTGATTGAGTCATTTAAAAATTACATGTTAAGAGCTTACTCTGAGCCAAGCACCAAGGATATGTCACTGAATGGGTAGTGTCTCTATCCTCAAAGAGCTTGCAGGCTAACAAGTAAGACAGACAAACATTAAATACTCCCATATTCAGTTACTGATTTACTGTATGAAGTGAAGAAGAATGAGGAAACAGATAACTTCAATCTGAAATGAGGAACTGAAGACTGTTATAGCAGTTCTGGAATGAGTTATACAAATACAGAGAAAGGGACAGATATGAGAAGCACTAAGATGTATGTGAAAACAATCTGTTCAGATAAATGTAAATGGACAGTTAAACAATGGTTAAATAAACATTCATGATAGGGCTACACAACCATTTCTTTCTTCCTTCTACCACTAAAATATTATATTTCATAGCAGACATTTTTCTTAAAAATTTTGGCAACTGACTCAAATCCATAATCCTCTTGTCTAAATCAACCACTTTCAACCTTGTAGAAATATGCTTTATACCCTGAAAGTTTTAACACATCCTTGAATGATGAATATTAATAGAATCAAAACCAATATTTTACTATAATTTGTAAAGTACATAATAAAATATTACTAAAACAACATAATTTTGTTGGATAATAACTATAAATATTTTATCTACCACATTAATGACAAGCCAACTACTTATCTACCAAGATACTGAGTTATATAGACTCAAATTCTTTGACCTAGGAGAGAAAAGGAGGAAAAGGAGGGGTGAATGAGTCACCTTTCATGCCAAGAATGAATTATACTGCTCTCCCCCTAACAAAGGCACCCAGTTTGAGTTATTTTTTCAATTACCATCTCCCAGATATTTCTATCACCTTTTAAAATAAACTTTTCCCATCTCTTCCAGCAATAGGAAATCTGCATTGAAATCTCAGGAAATAAAGAATAGCTTAAATAAATAAAGAAAACAAAATCACCAATAATTCCATATCCAAAGAAATTGCTGTTAGCCTTTGTGTATTTTCTACTACTCTTTAATGAATATACTACTCTTTAATGAATATATTAATCACACTAACTCATTAGACAATGATTGGCCTACTTCTTTTCTGCTTTACATGAATTTTACGTTTAGAAAAACATTTTCCAATACTGTAAATCTCATTTTAATGAATTATATTGTATTATGTAGACACACCATAATTTATTTACCAATTTTCCAGTATTGTTCCCAATTTTTCACTATTGCATTATTTGGAACTGGAGTTCAGTAAAATTATCCACTTGGCATCCATAAATTTAATAGTTCGTGTTATCCTTTCTACTACCCCTGAAAATAAATTGAGTTGTTTCTGCCTTGAGCTTTGTGCTTAAACAATCTACTTTTTAAAAGCTGATTTTAATTTCAAAAGTCTTTAAAATTTCTTCTTTTTAACACAGAAGTTAACATATAGACACACTGTTTTGCAATTTTTTTTCCACTTAACAACACCTGTTGGAATATTTCCATTTCAGCATATCAGTATATAGAAAGTCCCTTCTCCCTTTTTCTTCACAAATGCAGATTACTGCATTGTATCCTGCAATAAGGAGCCTAATAAAACTTCATATTAATGTGCAGAAATATCTCTATAGGAAAGATTTCCATAAATATGATTGCTCAGTAAAAGTATAACTACATTTGCAACTTGTATTCATATCTTCTTGTATTTGTGTTAAAACACACACACACACACACACACACCTGGGAATATACACAAAAAAATATTAATGCAAGTGATGATTAACTCATCTGGAGAGAGGGCATGGGTCTAAGTAATGGGAAAAAGCATGGGATTAAAATTTTGCATATTTCATATTTTATAATTTATATTTTTATTGTGCTCCTTGTTTGTCAACTATTCAAAAAGCAAATTTTAAATGCTTGCCTGCCAATATCACCCAATAGCCTCAACTCTTTATTCTAGCAGGATAGAGATTTAAGGACTGTTACAACACCCAAACTGGTACACTGCGCACTAATTCACTGGGTTTTGTAACATGCAGACATGTAAAAAGGCATCACCAATTCAGACAGGATGTGGAAATGGCTAGACTGAACTAGAGAAGGGTCTGGAACACGAATTCCAAAGCTTAGCCCACAAACAGCCAACTAGATATTCACAAGTCCCCTCTTGTTACAACATAATTCTAAAAAGAAATCACCATTGAGAGCATTTTTCTATAGTACCTATCATGGTGAGGGTGCTCTACAATCTGAGAACTTGGTCCCAAGTACAGGATATAACTGGTTTAAAACAGCTCATTTTACAGTTTTGGACACTCCAGGCAGAGCATCAAGTATTTCCCACAGTGAAGTCAGTGATCTTTCTAGGAAGAACGTCCCCTACACAGTGATTCCTCTCTATTAATATTAGGGTTTTTTGGCCTAAATTAAAAACATGAGGGAGTGTGGAGATAATTTGGCATGCCCTAGGATGAAGCTTTTCTCTCCATCTCCCTATTACCCTTTTGCCCAGCTCAGACATAGAAAGAATTAGAGGAAACACCTGAGAAAACCATCATTTAACTCTGCAGTATCACAATCTAATGACTTCTAAATCTGCTTCTTTTTTCTTTCCCTTGTTTTTCCTAGTTTGAACCATTTGGCCACATATTAGACCCATCAGGGGTAGAAGAAAGCTGCACATGGACTTAAGAAAAGTACCTGGGTGGGGGGGGGGGTTACGGAACAACTTATTACAGTGATATAAAATATGTTAAAAAAACTTGCTATTAGAATTGAAAAGTAAATTTGCCCAAATTCAGTACATGTATATTTAAACAGATAAGTAACTGCTATCAAAGCCAAGGGTCCCTGAATGATGGCTTAGAAAGGCTCCCAGGATTCTGAGGAGGAAAGATTTCAGTATGTTATTCCAAAGCACTTTTTCACCAAAAGAGCACTCACAGGAGGAGCCTTAAAAGGCGAAGCCAATGTCCTGCTGCTACACAACTTTTAGAAACATGGAGACTCTACACTGAAAAAAAGGGATTCATGCTACTTTAGGAAAAGTAGACAGAAATTTGGCAGTTCAATAAAGTCGATTTCAAGAAGCTGAGCAGTTCTGGGTCATGAAATGTTCTTTTCCCTGCTGTATATCAAGGTAATTAGCACCAGTGCTGCAACAGAATTGGTCAAATGTAGCCCCACCCTCATGTTTTCTCATACACCCTTAGTGGCATTCAGGTAAGTGTTTTGTTGTTTGTTTGTTTGCTTTTTTGCTGTACGCGGGCCTCTCACTGTTGTGGCCTCTCCCGTTGCAGAGCACACGCTCCAGACGCACAGGCCCAGCGGCCATGGCTCACAGGCCTAGCTGCTCCGCAGCATGTGGGATCTTCCCGGACCGGGGCACGAACCCGTGTACCCTGCATTGGCAGGCAGACTCTCAACCACTGCACCACCAGGGAAGCCTGCAGGTAAGTGTTTTTAACAACTGCATCTCTGGTGGAAAAAATGTGTGTATACCTACATACACAGGTTTTAAAAATAAATTTTACCAATATAAAGACTGTGTAGCACACAAATTACCAATAATAATAAAATGAAAATGATATAATGAATTCATATATCAGAATGTCACTAACTTATCAGTGACAATGTATGAGCAACTTTTTTGCCGAGCTGGATAACAGTTTTCTGTACTACAAGAATATTTCTTCTATTTTGGTGCTACTCAAAATGTAATGAACACATACAAGGCATTTAAATTTAATTTGCATTGTTAACATTTTGTCCATCACTTTCATGAGCTTGTACAAACAACAAAACAATAATTCAGTCTCCTATTATTAGCATTTG